CTTATCCTCGACAGACATTCCGGAACTTAAGATACATGACTCAGTAAAGTCCAACTCGTACATTCTCTCGAGAAAGCTCGAGCTATAATCTCCGTTAATAGCGTCGATACAAATGTTTGATGCATCTGATCCTCCAACTGGCCCAAGTAGGATTCAACTCAATGGCATTCGTATTGAAAAAGTGTCCGAGGACTTTCCGTATCGAATCACAAGTGCCCAATGGGATTCCGGCACATCCATACCAATCAATACTCCGACATCTCGATCGCAACTGTCAAACAACTGCAGGTCCATTTGTTGCGGGCACGTCAAATATTCCCTCAAAGACGCGCCAGAAACCCCGGCAGAATGGCTGTGGAAAACGAGGTTCAATTCCTCCCCACAACGCATTAGCGCTCAGCCACTCCGAGGCGCGTCCCAACTGCGAACCTTTTGACAATGGTCATTTGCAAACTATCACCTCTTTGTGGTGGCTGTTTTTCCTAACTTAATAACCCAGTGCATTGGCTGTGATCGGCCCTTTGTTGGCCGTAAAAGAGCCTACAGAGGACCACTTGTCTTTTCTTTCTCTTCGCCCTACTTGGGAGTCGGTCGGGTCACGTGATTGCGTGTGAGTCGTTAGCTGGCCAGCCTTCGCATCTAAGTCATGAGCGCGCGTCTATCGTACCCCCCTCTCGTGTGCGTCCGTTCCGAGGGCTCAGCGTCTATCCGAACAAGTGAAATAAAAAAATAATGTGTCAGCTGTACGCCGTAACGGCGCTTCGCTGCCGCGCGACCAGGCGCGCGGGATAGCTGGCTGGCGTGGAAGTTTCTCCGTGGCGCGGACGAAGTTGATTGCGATGGCGAACCCAGGTGTCATCACCCACAGAGACATCATGCAGCATGTCACCTTGCCTGGCCGTCACTGTTGCTTTGATCCAGCGAGGATGACCCGCTCGGTAATCGCGAGCGTAGACCGGAGCTCCCACGACGAATTCTTTATGCTTGGTGCAGGCACCAGAGTGACTAGGTGGCTTCTCAGTCGGAATGAGCGCTTCGTTGGTAGTACGTAGCTTGCGGCCCATCAATGCTTCAGCTGGTGACTGACATTCTGGCGTAGCTGGGTTCGGTGTGGACCGGTACGAGAGCAGGAACGCTTGAAGACACTCATCCACGGTCCAGTGAGCATGGTCGAAAGGTGCGCAGTTGGGGCGCGTCTCGGAGTGGCTGAGCGCTGCTGCTCCTAATTATGTAATTGTTCCGGTTCCGGTATTATCTTTCGTACATTAGGCATCCATTTGACGGATCGCGCCTGATTTACGTACAGAGATGTACCCCCATCCAAGGGTTGCAGCTCTAGTCGTACAACCTGCAAGCGCACCCATGAGTCACCGGTAACCGTTGCTAACTGCACAACTGACGGCATAGTTGGTAAATTAAGTTCCCGTAGTAACTGTTCGTCAAGCAGCGATGAATTGCATCCGAGGTCAAGTACAGCCTTGGTCACCAATGTCTTGTTCATCCCATGCAATACAACTGGAATAATTCATAGAGCCACTCGGCATCAAGACGCAGTCGTTTCATTGACCACTGCCCTTGCTGAAGTCAGTTGCTTCAACTTAGCTTCTTATAACAAAGGGCGGTGTTTCAACTGGCTACGGTGTATCGGGATCTGCAATTTGCAGACGTGTGGTTGGCTTTGAGGCACAATTCGCATAAACACTTCCCAGAAACGGCGAGCAAGCGCTCAGTACTGTCCATAGTTTGGAATCGAGGACATTGATCGAGGTAAGGATGTCGTGTGCACGTTACACACGATGGTGCGATTCTCTGGGTCTGCGGCTCTATTCCTCCAGTTACCAAATCGGTTATATGATTACCCCGATTTCGGAGTCTTTCTGCTGTACAGGACCCTTCGGGTCTTCGAGCGCTTTCATTCAAGTACATGGCCTGAGTTACCGCGATTTCTACGGCATCACAGACAGATTGGTACAGGTCTCTGAAGGCTGGTTCTGCGTAACTGCGCATGATCCTGGTAGCTTTCTTGGACCAATCGAGCTGCAGAGCATAAGGCAACCGTCTGATCACGGAAGACACCGTCACAGTCGCATTCATGTAGGCCTCGCAGTTCAACTGTTGTAGAGTAGTCAAGCAAGTATTCAAATGTCCAGCCAATCTATGCAGCGCTTCCGAATTGTTCGCCTTGATTGATGGGCTCTTGACTAAGTTGTCGATGTAAGCTCTGGCTATAACATAAGTGCGGCCGAATCTAGATTTTATCGCCTCCATGGCACCACGAAACCTTATTCTGGTTTCAATATGACGCAACTCCCGATCGTCTCGCGAGCCTGGTCTCTCTTCAGGAGAGATTGATGCCAGGATTATGGGTAACACCCATGACGTTTGTTTGAAAACTGCGCATAAATAGCCAATACTGCATCGGATCACCTTTAAAGCGGCCAATCTCGTTCTTCGGCAAGCCAGCGAGCGCTTCCAGTGCACCCGAGGCGTGCCCAGGAAGTGTCTGGCGGGACTCGATCCCGGTAAAACCGCGCCACTGGCAAGCATGTACCCCACACACTACAGTGGATTGCACATCGCCCATTGCAATATAGTGTTCACCAAAACCAGCAGGGTCACCCGATCCCCCAAGCAAATTTGAATCCGCGACTTCCGGATTGCAAGACAAGCTTGTGATCATCAAGACCACCGGCCGGAGGGGGGCAAAGTGGCGATAGGAGCATGTACACTAGCCGGACAACTGCTGCATTCTGCACCTTCCTTGGTGGACGTAAGTATTCTTTCACATCTCGAGTTGAAGCCCGTGAAAAATACCAACAGGCTATACGGATACAGACTGCATGTGCGTTGGGCACTCAAACGTAGCTTTTGCACTTCGTCTCAAAAGACTACTTTTCGTCACTTCTCTCCAGTTATAAGGTCAATGCTAGAGTACGGATCACTCGCCTTTTGTCTGATCACCAATGCAGAGGTGCAAAAACCTGCATTCTGTTCATCATGAAGCTACTAGGCTCATACGTATTTTACGGGTATGTCGCACCATGCCGTATCGTAGGTTTCTGGTGAACATATTTATGAAGCACGGGATATTACATTTGGGTGAGTTCCCTGTCTTGAGGCCGTTTCTCCATGTGCGCGAACCAATCAGAATAGTCCGGCATCAATACAGGTTTGCAGAAGCGGAATTGAAGCGGATAGCTCACCCTCTACGCTTTGAGCATAGGGTAGTGAAACATTGGAACAGTTTGCCATAGACAATACTCGAGGTAAAACAGGTGTCCGAATTCAATAAATTCCCGGACGCCCACTTTGCGAATTACAGCTTCCGCGAGTGCATCACGCCTAAGTAGGAAGAACAACTGCAACATGCTAAAATGTGCAGGAAACGGTAACGTAACTTCGCGCAAATGTCGGAACCCGCTACGACGGAACAACACAGATGTATATTTGTCAGATCTCTAGTTTTAGCGTTCCTCTTCCTAATCATCATCACACATCAACTAGCAGCGTGAAACTCATTAGCTTGAGTGTCTTTGTTACCATCTCATTACTTATCGTTAACATGTCTGAAACTAGGTAACGAGCAAAGGTGCTGACAGCTACGAAAAATGTGGCCTTTCACAGCAGTGTTGTTTATGCAAATTTTGATAACGGATGATAACAAGGGGAGTTTAATTATTGGCTATTCGGTACGAATCTGACCTTGTCCAACACTTACCACTGCACTCACGATGCGTACAACCAAGTAGAAAGATTTAACAGGAGCATTAAAGTTAACAATGCGAACTATTTTGAGTACTCACATTTTTGCTTGACATATGAGTCGGTCCATGGGCATGGTTGAGGGTGGCAAACCAACTCCAGTAGCTGCATCAAAGTATGCCCACATTTCGAGCAGTGGCTGTACTTTAACTATCTTCTGGAAATTTTTAAGGTTGCCCACTGGGTGTACTCGGAGGGAAATAAGTTGCCATGTCGTCAACAGATTTGCACTCCGACTCAGGCAGGCAGTTTATCGATCATCATCATCAACTGATGATGACTAATAATGTTTCATCCTGCCTACATCTAGATCTGCATAGGTTGTTAACGCTATATCTCCAGTGCCCATTAGTCACTTGTTTCTCTAGAATGGTTTCCGGCACCATCTAAAAGTTCGTTTACAGATAGGTCGTTTCTGAGATGTAGGTCAACTAGAACCTCGGTTACAACATCAAAATGCACAGGCACGTGATAGTGTTGTTAGCATCCTGACTATTCAGTTAAGCGAAATAACTAAGAAATATTACACCGTTCAGAAAACACATAAGCTTTGTGCCAAATTGCGTTTAATGAATCTTCTTCGACAAGGGAGATTTCAAGCACCTAGAAGCAGACCCAATACACCAGGCTACCTGGCGACGCATTAGAACCGTTAATAAAGTGTGCGTCGGCGATATCGATTCAAAGCAGTACACAATGCAACGGGATACTTGTATCTCATAAGCATATATATATATGTATATATATATATATGTATATATAATTTCATCAAAATTCAGGGAAGCAGAGGAATTATCTACCTACTTGCTGAATGCAAACTGACTGCTCCTAAATAATAGGCTTGTGATGATTTTATTGTTGCTCGTGTCAACGTATGGTAAGCACGATCTTGATTACATTTTCATGATGATAATTGCCACTTTATATGAGTTTTGTTGTCGAGTTTGGAGATATCTTATCAGGCATGGTCCTTGCATTTAATTGTTGGTTACATGATGCAAACTCACATGAAGGAAGCGCAGACGACAATTGTGCACAGCACAAAGCGCATAGACATAAAGACGCACACAAAGATTGCGCACATGGAAGAATGCGCACACGGAAGGTTACGTACGTTGAAAGCAAACCCACAAAGTGCCTTGCCGTGTATAGTCGTGCATGGAAGGGTGTCATCTCTGAGCTTCGGAAGCCAGGCGGCTGTGTTTCCTGTCGCCTTGTGGACTAGCCTGGACGGTATTATGGACAAACTGGAGCTTATGTTGTCGCACTGTCGTCTTTTGGCATTAACTCTGCTAAGGAAGCGCGATACATCCGTCAGCTCGGTTGATTCATCCTCGTCGGTGCTTTTGGATGACTCAGCTGACCCGCACCCAAGTTTGGCTGAACAATTGCTGCATGATCTGATCACTAGCGGTTTCACGCAAGATAACAACAGCTGTTTCTCGCTGGTTGTCCTACTTTTCGCATCTGCAGATCTCACTTCTCTGCGCCGTCGCCTGAGTATGATTGACGTGACTACCAAAGGAGTGTTGGATGGCTCTCCGGAGGAACTGAAATCTCAGCTAGCTTCTTCAGGGGGTTTCATGTGTTGGGCCTTTGATCACGTCTCGGAATAGCTTAATAATGCCTCAGAGCATTCCCCGCAAATCAAGGAGGTTTGGAAGGGGAGTATCGCAGACTGTTGAAACTCGTCCACGACTTATTACGCCGACTTCAACAGACCTAGCTCCCAAGCGAATTAAACGAAACAAAGCTAACAGTTAAATCGGCAGTATCGTCTGAGACTAGTTTGCTGGCATGCATCCTTCGGCTGCTTGATCATTTGGAAACGGCGTACTTGTTGCTTAGTCTGTTTATACTCCTCGATCAAGTAGGTATGGCTTTTCCAGCTGCCAATCATACATTTGGTTTTGATTCATGGTAACTTGGCGGCTTGATCCAGAACACTGTAAGTGAACGGGCCTGTGCTGCTACTAAATACGATTTAACTTGCAAAAACACCACTAACACCCCATTGGGACCATTGAAAAGCGGGTGGAACAAACGATGAGACAAGAAAATGCAGCGCCCTCCAGAATGAACCGGAGTCCGGCATCATCTATCACCAAGCACCTTGTAACAACTGGATAGGATGTGAACCCGAAGACCATTAAAAAATCGGACAACTTTCTCCCCTGTTTGATTATGTTGTATAAAAGGATGGGCAACGAAATCGGTCCGTGTCGAGCAAAGTCGAGAAACATGCCATTTATTTATATATACATTTTATTAACCTGGACACGTTATCACAATTGTTCATATTATGTATTTTGATAATAAAAAGAATCGGGGGTCGCAGTATAAGAAGATGACACGGTTTCGAGAAGCCTAGCATCCGGACACGGGTCGATACCAGAGGGGCGGTAGTAGAGCTGAGTTACGCAGAAAGCTGAGGAACTCAGACCCTCAGCATGCGACAGCTTGCTGAGGGTGATGATAAACTGTGACCCATAAAATGAATCATGACCTGCGCCTGATATACTTTTGTCTAGCAGGTTTCGGTGTTCTGTTTTGTCCGAGGCTAGGTTAGCGTGGCAGAGGGAAATCAGCGTTATAACAGTGGCGACGCCAGTTTCAATCGAACCCAGAAATGGAAGCCAGCTTCGAAAAATTGAAGGCACTTATGCAACAGCAGGCCCAATGCATTTAGACGTTGACACAGAAGCTGTCGATACAGTGAAGTCCAGGTTTAGGGGCAAGTGAAAGTGTCCCCCTCCAGAAAACCTGACTCAGCAGAGCAGTGAATTGCATTATGACGCGGATGCTGGCGTGAAATTCACTTCCTGGTTTCACAAGTATGAAGACATGTTTCGTGTTGATTTCGCAAATATGCCAGAAGAGAAGAAAATTTGCTTGATGCTCCAGAAGCTGGGTGCGGCTGAACATGAAAAGTTCGTAAATTGCATCTTGCCAAAGAAGAGCACTGAGCTATCCTTTGACGAAGCTGTCTCAGTCCTGTCACAAATTTTTGATGAGCAGACACGCTTGTTCAACATCCGGTACAAGTGTCTCACGATGGTCAAGAAAGAAGAAGAAGATTGGGTCACCTACTCGAGCCATGTAAATCGCGAGTGCGAACGTTCATAGTTTCACAAAATGACCGGCGACTAGTACAAGTGCCTCATTTACGTTTGCGGCCTACAAGCAGTCAAAGTTGTAGAACAAGAATACTGAGCAATATTGAACAGAATCCTGACATCACGTTGCAGCAAGTGACCAGTGAGTGCCAAAGAGTGACTAACCTGAAGCATGATAAATCAGTGATTCAGAAATTGTCCAATGTGAACGAGCATGACCTCATCTATGCAGCCAACCGGACTCTCCGAAAAGCACCAACTCACGTGAGTCCATCACATTCCAAACCTTCCTCAGCCTGTCGGTTATGTAGAGAATGGTATTTTGCTCGACACTGTCCGTTTAAGAATCACGTTTACAACCGATGCGGCAGAAGAGGTCATAAAGAGTCGTGTTGTTTGACGCGTGGTCCTACTTTGTCCAGAAAGAAGTGCAACAATGCCACACCGTTCAGATGATCCGATGGGATCAGAAGGATCACTGCAACTCTCAAGGTTGATGGCGTCAGCAGGTGTAAATACACATGGTGGAAATCAATGGCAGACAAGTCATGTTACAACTTGTTACTGCTTCAGATATCACGGTGATCTCCAGCGACACGTGATACAGGCTGGGGCGACTAACACTCGTACAAACGACCCATACGGCACGGAATGCTTCAAGTGGTACCTTAACATTGCTTGCTGAATTGAACTGTGAAGTCAATTTCCGAGACCAACAAATCCACACAACGTGTTTTGTGACGGGCCAACCGGTGTTAGAATTGCTAGGACTGGATTGGATGGACGAGTTGAAATTGCTCGGCCAGTCGGTAAACAGTATATGCCACTAGTTGCAAGTCAAGCAAGCTACGCAGATGTCAACGATGAACCCTGAATTGCGTAACCAAATTGTATATCTGAAGCGACGTCACGAATATTTGTTCAAACCCGGTCTCCGATGCTGTCGCGTAGCCAGGGCGAAACTGAACCACAAAGCAGATGACAAACCAGTCTTTAGACCAAGACGCCCGGTGTTATTCGCAAGTTAATCTTTAGTGGAAGTCGAGCTAAATTGCTTGCAATCCGAAGGTATAATTGAACAGGTCCACTATTCAGTATGGGCGACATCGGTTGTGGTGATAAAGAAAGCAAACGGTAAGGTTCGTATTTGTGCTGATGTTTCAACAAAACTGAATTCTGCGTCGGAGAAGCATCAGTACCCATTGCCTTTACTAAAAGACTTGTTCTCCAAACTCACCGGTGGCAAATGCTTCGCAAAACTTGGCTTAGCTGACGCGTACTTGCAAGTTCCAGTCGCCGAGGAGTGCAGAGCATTACTAACGGTTATTACACACCTCGGGCTTTTCCATTACACCCGGCTGCCATTTGGGGAGGAAACCGCACCAGCCATTTTCAGGCAAATTATGCATACCCTGCTGAAGGATATCCCCAATACCATGGTCCACCAGGACGATGTAATGATTATAGGCGCAGACCCGCAAGATTTGATGCACACACTGGAGAGAGTGCTTTAACGTTTGGAAGGAAGCTGGATTTCAAGTACGGGGCGTTCATGTTAGATAGTGGTAAGTTCCTCGGGTTTATCATATACCAACATGGCCGGTGCCTAGATCCCGCCAATATCGAAACTCAAACAGATGGAGCCTCCGAAAGAGGTCGCAGAGCCTCGCCCATTCCTCGGTCTCGTGAGCCATTACAGTGTTTTCCTACCAAGACTGCGTCCAAACAGAGGTCCGCCGGACCAGTCGCTGACGAAAGATAACGTTTGGCAATGGACGAGGGAATGCCAGCAGTCCTTTGACGCAGTTAAAGCAGCACCCACATCTGACCTACTACTGACCCATTTCAATCCGAACTTGGAAATCATCGTTGCTTTGGACGCTTTCAATTGCGGTGTCGGCGCCGTTTTTTCACACCTTTATTCGAACGGAGAAGAGAAGGCTACTGCGCACGCAGCACAGTCCCTAACGTCAGATGAGAAATATAGTCAGATTGAAAAGAAAGCACTCGCAATCGTGTTCGCCATGAAGCGGCTTCACAAGATACTCTATTGCATGCATTTCATCCTCCGGAATGATCACAAGCCATTGCTGTCGATATACGGCTCAAAGAAAGGCATTCCCGTTTTCACCGCGAATCGGTTACAAAGATGGACGACTATAGTGTTGGCGTATGATTTCCGTATACAATATCAACCTACGCAACAAATCTGCCAAGCGGATGCCCTGTCTCTTCTCATCAATTCGCACCCAAAGAAGAACGATGACTGCGTGATTGCAGCCATCCATTTCGAGTCCGAAGTCCAGCGACTCCTGACCGATAATGTAAGAAGATTACCTGTGACAGACTTGACACTATTATCGCAGAGACTTCCCGAGACAGAATCCTAGAGAAAGTGATGAATTACGTGCGAACAAGTTGGTCAAAAGATGATATCCCTGCTGAGTTGCGGACTTTCTTCAACCGATCTGGGTTACTGTCCATTGTGGACAACAGTTTGATGTTTGGAGACCGAGTGATGGTGCCAAAGAAATGGAACAGGCAAGTCTTACAGCAGTTTCATACCGGGCATCCAGGTACCAACCGTATGAAAACCTTGGCACGCAGTTTTATTTTATTGGCCCGGAATGGATTTAGAAAGTGAACAATTCTGTCAAATATGTGAATGCTGTCAACTGGCGGCGAGGGCCCTTCCCAGGTGCCCTAGGCAACCTTGGTGCAAAGCAGAGAAGACATGGCAGCGAATCAACTTAGATTATGCAGGACCAATCGCCGGCTAAGCCCAGCTCGTTTTCTTAGACTCCTTCTCCAAGTGACCCGATGTGATCCTGATGCAAAGTCCAAATGCCCAACACACGATCAACGAGCTAGATAAGCTGTTCCGCTATTTCGGCCTGCCAGTGATAATAGTGGCAGACAACGGTACACATTTCCCTTCAATTACCTTTCGCGAGAGGTGCAAGGAGAAATGAATCCAGCAGATGTTCTCACCACCCTATCCTACGAAACCAAACGGACAGACGGAACGGTTAGCGGATACGTTTAAACGTGTACTTTGTAAAGCAGGAGAAAACAAGTTCCCGTAGGACGCGATCTAGTCCTCCCTGTGCATGTATCGGAATGCACCAAACCCAAAGGACCCAGATGAAAAAGCCACTGCCTAAGTTTTGTTTGGACGGAAGATTCAGACATTGTTCGTTAACCTTGTGCCAAGCAGAAACGAAAAGCATTGCAGATGTCAAGTAGAGGAAAAGCTGACGGACAGGCTCCGTCATTTCCAATTTGGTGACATAGCGTATGCGCGAGACTTCTGACGACCGAGGAGGTGATCGACAGGAAGAGTGATCAGCAAAATGGGTCGAGTCATTTAGGAGCTAATGGTAGGAAATGAGAAATGAGTCAGGCGCGTCAATCAGCTTGGGCAGAATCATGACTCAAAGTTCCTCGGACATTCTGATAGACACGTTTAGTTTGGAGGAGGAAGCTGAGCGGCTGCGTGT